TTGATTGGTCCGTGTTTTTCCTTAATAATTCAGAAACGAAGCTCCAAACCCCATTTTTGCAAAGGGAAATCTTATTGAGAATCACGTCAGCTACCTTCCATTTCAGGGACCTACACTAATTGTGAAATACTCTGTATTTGTAAACAATCTAATATAGAAATGGTCCTGTACTGTAGAGGTGGTATTGTACTGGAGAAGTTGCGTTTAGTACGACTCATGTGTGGAGTATGTTACATATTGAAGTTGAACTTGTAATTGTGTGATAGACATTTTTAAAATTTGTACATTTTGATATTTGTAATTTGAATATTTTATATAGTAGTGTATTTATAAATTTATATTTTCAAATTCATTATTTAAAGATTTCTAAACTGCTATACTTCGAAATTTAGGTTTTGGAAATTTATGAGCTACTGTACTTTGCAATTTATTTTTTGGAAATTTATGAACTACTCTATCTTTAGATGTATTATTTGAAGATTTATGGAGTACGACATCCTCAGATTTATTTTTTGAAAGTTTTTAAGCCGCAGCACTTTGGAATTTATTATTTGGTAATTTATGGAGCACTACATCTTTGGTATCGTTATTGGAAAATTTCTGAGCTATTACATCTTTATTTTTATTAATAGAAAAATTTTAAAGAGTTACATCTTCAGATTTATTAATAGAAAATTTTTAAAGAATTGCATCTTCAGATTTGTTAATAGAAAATTTTTAAAGAATTATACCTTCATATTTATTAGTAGAAAATGTTTAAACTGTTACATTTTCAGATTTGCTAATAGAGAATGTTTGAACTATTACATCTTCAGCTTTGTTAATAGAAAATGTCTAAAGAATCACATTAAAAAATGATACAGCAAAGAAACCCAATCTAAACGAGTGATTCACAGCCATTAAAGAAGAAGTTCTCCGTACATAAGCGGAACAGTAAGCGTTAAATACAGGTAATTCTTTCAAATGAAAGATTTTAGATGGGAGGCTGTAACGTCCGAATGTGCGATGTATCACATAGCAAGCAGGAGGTAAATTGATTTTATATCAAATTACGGGTAACAACGTTCCACTACCGCTGTCGTACGTGAAAAATTACCTGGATTGTGCTCAGAAACATCGAACACGTAGCATCCATTCCTGTGGGATTCGAGGGGCTTATTGAATCTTTCAATGCATTCGTCTGTTACTCGTATCTGTCTCTAACAGTCTGTTTTCTGTATCCTACTGGCTTTTATATTGATTATCTGTTTCAATGAAATCCTGTACGTGGAAAAATTTAATAAACCTAACCCTGTTCTGTTCTTGAATTATCTTCTATTTAAAACGAGCAAATAAAAGACGAAAAGCAATGTTCATTCACATTATAACTTTCCTTTCATTCCTCTTCAATTGTTATTTCTGAAGATAGTTCTTTAGTGTTTGGATGTAATTTTTCATCTGTAGGACTCAAGGTATCAAGTTTCAGGTATCGAGTTTCAGGTATCAAGTTTCAGGTATCAAGTTTCAGGTATCAAGTTTAATTTCACAATTCCTCAATTACTTGGGGATTTGGGGATTTAGAGATTTGGAAATTTGGAAATTTGGGGACTTTGGGATACTAAGATTTTCAGATTTTGAGATTTGGGAATATTGAGACTTTAGGGATGTAGGGATTTAGGGATTTGGGGATTTGGGGATTTGAGAAATTTGGGGTTTGGGGATTTCGGGGATTTCGGATTTCGGGTTTGGGGATTTAGGGATTTGGAGATTTAAGGATTTGGGGATATAAAGATTTGGAAATTTGGAAATTTGGGGATTTGGGGATTTAGGATTTGGGAATTTGGAGATTTAGAGATTTGGAAATTTGGGGATTTTGGGATACTAAGATTTTCAGATTTTGAGATTTGGGGATTTTGGGACTTTGGGAATTTGGGGACTTTAGGGATGTAAGGATTTAGGGATTTGAGGATTTGAGAGCTTTGGGGTTTGGGGATTTAGGGGCTTTGAGGTTTGGGGATTTAGAGATTTGGAGATTTGAGGATTTGGGGATTTGGGGATTTAAAGATTTGGAAATTTGGAAATTTGGCAATTTGGGGATTTAGGATTTGGGAATTTGGGAGTTTGAAGATTTGGAAATTTGGGGATTTTGGTATTTTGGGATTTGAAAATGTGGAGATCTAGGGATTTTTGTATTTAAGAATGTAGAGATCTAGGGATTTTTGTATTTAAGAGTGTGGAAATTAGGGATTTTTTGGATTTGGGAATGTGGAGATTTGTGAAATATGAGAATTCGGTGACATTGGAATTTCGGAATTTGGAAATCTGAAATCTAAGAATTCTGAACTATAAAAATTAGAAAAATTGGGTATCTAGTAATTCAAAAATTTAAAAAATAAAATATTTAAAAATGTAAAAACTTGGTTATTTAGAATCTCAAAAACTTGAGGTTGTAAAAACTTGCAAATATTTATATGTGGTTACTAAAGGGATCAACTCTGAAAATTTAAAAACCCAAATAATAAAAATCTAGAAAATTTGCAAATCACTCAAAAACTATAAAATCTAAAAACTTGTCAAAATTATAATTTATAAATTATCCAAATATCTTCTCTCAGAAATGAAAAACTTCCCTAAAGTATCATTTCCAATCTCCATCTATGATCAGCATAATCAGTGTTCGAAACTCTGACCTTAATTAATTAAATCGGCACGTTCATTCTCGATTTCCATGATGAATTAATTACCGACAGAAAACAAGTATCAAGTCGCAGGTATTAGGTTACATGTATCAGATTTCAGGTATTAGATTTCAGGCTTCAGGTATCAAATATAAAGTTTCCGGTATCGAGTTTCAAGTATCAAGTTTGTACTAAAGAAATCCGATTCAAATACATAGTAATATAAATTCTGGTCGTTCGAAATGAAATTCATTTCTTACAGTCCACTTATATTAACTCGTTAATGATTCACGTCATTTAATCGTCACTTACTATTGCTAATACTGTGACGCACATACAAACTTCATGTTCCAGCTCCAATGCGTTATGAAATTTATAAAAATATTTTCATCTACCTTGAAAAAATAAATCATTTCTGAAAAACCTATATCTATTTCCAAATAATGAATTTCTAAAAAATGCATCAATTTCTAAAGAAAATAATTCGTTCAGTCCATATAAGGTGACACAAACAGATTTGCCAAAAGCAATTTCGTAAATAACCAGTTAATCTTCTTTCGCCGAGTGTTGTTTGTTAATAAAAGTATTTATCCGAATGAAGTCTACACAGCACGGATACGATGTTCCGAACGAGTGTAGATTTCACAATAGCGGCACTGGGATCACAAACAGAAGCGTTATTTGCATACAACGATTTTGTATTCCTTTGAAAATTCTGCAGGAACGTAGGAGCTATTCGTGGCTTGGCACAAAAAGTTTTTTTCATATATACACGAACACAACGGAGAAGTTTAAGCTTCTGAAAAACTGAATAAAAACGAGCAATGCAGAAGTACAGAGTGTTATTGAAAGGCAGTTCAAAACTTTGCAGCTTTGCGGGATTCTATGAAGAGAATGGAAAATGATAAACATACTTGCGGCGAACGTATGATAGCTTCTCAAATTTCGGAACTTTTTGATTTCTTAAATCTTCTGATTCTGGTGTTTTCGGATTTTGGAATTTTGTAAGCTTATATTTTTTAAGTTTGTAGGTTTTTAAGGTTCTGAATTTTTTGGTTTCTAAGTGGGGTGAGTTGATAATTTAATAAATTGGTAATTTGATAATTTGGTGATTCGGAGATTTGTTAATTGGTGGATTTGAGAATTTGGAGATTTAACAATTTGGCGATTTGACAATTTGGAGACTTGAGAATTTGAACATTAGAGAATTTGGGGAATTGGGAGATTAAGATAATTGGGGAAATTGGGGAATTGGGGAATTGGGAAATTCGAAATTTGGGAAATGGGGAAAATTCGGAAATTTGGGACATTAGGAAATTGGTGAATTGGGAAATTGGTGAATTGGGAAATTGGTGAATAGGGAAATTGGTGAATTGGGAAATTGGTGAATTGGGAAATTGGTGAATTGGGAAATTGGTGAATTGGGAAATTGGTGAATTGGGAAATTGGTGAATTGGGAAATTGGTGAATTGGGAAATTGGTGAATTGGGAAATTGGTGAATTGGGAAATTGGTGAAATTGGTGAATATTGGTGAATTGGGAAATTGGTGAATTGGGAAATTGGTGAATTGGGAAATTGGTGAATTGGGAAATTGGTGAATTGGGAAATTGGTGAATTGGTGAATTGGTGAATTGGGAAATTGGAAAGTTGGAAAATTGGAAAATTGGGGAATTGGTGAATTGGTAAATTGGGAAATTGGAAAATTGGAAAATTGGAGAATTGGAAAATTGGACAATTGGAAAATTGGGAAATAGGGAAAATTTGGAAATTTGGAAAATTGGAAAAATTGGGAAATTGGGAAATTGGAGATTTGAAAAAATGAAAAATTGGAATATTTGAAGATTGGATAATTGGGAAAATTTGGTAATTTGGTAATATGGTAATTTGCTAATTTGATAATCTGCCAATTTGATCATCTGATAACTTGACAATTTCATAATTCCCCAATTACACATCTCAACAACTCAACAACCCAATATCTTCACAAATTCATAATAAAATAATTTTCTAAATACCAAACTTCAAAATTTCCTATACGTAAAAATTTATCAGTATCTCCATTTTCCCTCATAAAACACTAATTGAAACATCGCAGCAATAACGAGAACACATCTACGTATTCATAAACAAATTCTGATAACATTCGTGGAAAAAACCGTGTCCACGGTCGCACACCGATTGAAAAGCTTTCAGAAGCTCAACAAGTACCATTCAAAGCAACTTTCTAAGGCATCCGAAGTTAGAACGTGGAAATAAATCGACCAGAAGACGGTTTAAGCACCGGATATCGTCGGTTTTCGTTCAGCAGCTCGGGTTTCCTGAAACGAGCAACCTACTTTACCTCTCTTTAATACACGCGCCTCACGAAAGATCAAAACTGATTATTTCAAAATTTGCGATTTTACGAAATCTAACATTTTATTTGTAAATTTCGTTAATTCAAAATTAGGTGAGCTCATTATTTGCTTGATCGAAAGTTTGGTTAATCAATTATTTGGTCATTGATTGAAAAATTTGATAATTTGGGTGATTGAAAATTTGGTGACTTGATAATTTGTTTGTTTGCA